TGTATTAGTAATTCGGTTGAGCGTGTTGATCGGAAATCGCGGAAGAATTTATTTTTTGGGGACGACGTTTTTGTCAGCCTCGAATTCCAACGTTGAAACAACTATGTCATGGTCGGAGCCCCCGAATGGGCCTAGAGATGATGCTGATGATGGCATGCAGCCTCTACAGAAAGTTAGTTCAAGTATGCTTGAGCCTCGGGTGGGCAAGTCGACAACCTGATTCCACATCCCAACATCCACAGCCTCAAGAAAGTCTTCGAAACGTCTGGGGCCTGAAGGCGGAGACCAGCGGACTTCGGGGAGATTAAAATCACCCGCAACCAATTGACACTTAAAGCTTGAGTCGGCCGCAGCATGAAATGCCTGTGAGAGTAAACGATCAAAATTGTCGTTGGCGTTGAGAGGACGATAGACGCAGCCAACGTGTAAGGAGAACATATTTTTTAGTGCAACCTGGAGCCAGCAACTGCCTTCTACTACGGAAAAATGCGGGAGCTCAAGCGGCAAAAATGTGCGTGTTTGCTTAGCTTAGACGTAACTGCCCCCACCATGGCTGTCTTCGCGATCATTTCGAATGCAATTATAACCTAGCAGCGAGAGTTTGGAGTCAGCTACTGAGGCTGATGCCCACGATTCAGTTACTAAAACAATATCTGGACAATGGGCGTACACCAGAGTCTGTAGCAAAAGCATCTTATTAAGCAAGTATCTGGCATTTAAAACAAAAAGTTTGAGGGGAAAGGCTGTTAGCTTCTGAGGAAGGTGGGCTACGTCGTCCAGCGCTTAGCTGCCTACGGAGCAAACGGTCCGGATGTACCCATTCGGCTCTGCAAAATATTTTGTGGTATCGAAAAATTCTGACGTGGATAAAAAGGGGTAGGACTTGGGGGAGAAAATGACGGGCAGGTAAACTGGTAACCATTGTTAGCTAACTCATTTTCAGCTGAAAATCCGCTGGCCGGTTACTGCAACACATTCCCATCGAAACTTATCTGAGGATCGCACGAGTGAAGTGACCCAGTATGGACACTAGGATGAGTAATGCATTGGTAAAACTGCCGTAGGGGAAACAAGTCAGTGGTTGGGGAACGCTTTGCTGCCATTGGAGCAAGCGTTTTATTAAACGGCGGGAAAATCGGCATATTCGGCCTAACTGCCCCGATATGATTGCTGGGGGGCAGTTGCGAACACGCTACATTTTGGGTCGGGCTGTTTGAGGCACTGTTAGCCGAGTGTGGAGGAAAAGATTTTATAATGGTGCTAGATTTATCGGGTGTCCGCTTGGCTGAGACAGCAATTGGATTTGCCTTTGACTTAGACACATGCATAGGCTTACTAGGGGTTGCTGTGTGAGTCGGTAGAGGCGTGCTTATACCAGTCGTGTTGGTGTGTTTAAAGATCTCGGCATCAATATTAGTCGTAATTCCTACGGAATTGACGATGCCGTGACGTGCAGAGGCCTCAGATGGTGTTGTAAAGGACTAATTCAATGTGACAGTAGGTGTCATTATCTTGGTGTTAGTTTTTGTCGATTTTAAGTTATTCAGTCGTCTCTGCAGCGGTGTGAGGCCTGGCGAATCGGAGCAGCGCCATTAACGGCAGAATTCTGTAGTTATCTCCCTCCTCGACAAGATAAAATCGACTTCTATCAAGGAGAAACGAGAAACTAGGATCGGCGCATAACGCCTAAGCAAGCGCAGTCGTTTAGCTTGTGCGACACTAAAACTCAAGCCACAACTTTGTAGGAACAAATGCGCTCCCCCCATAGCAGATAAGTGGCTCGGAACGTTCCGCAGTACAAAATTATGCTTGTGTTTAATTCTCTCCTCAGTTCAGAACTTACAACCCCAATAAGTTTAAAAGCTTGTTCAATTACTTTTTCAGAAGTACTTTTTATGTCGTCATATATCAACTGATAAAGTATTTCGTCGGCTGATGGCCTGTTACGTCTAGCAGAGGCTTATTTTGGACGATTAAAGGGTCAAGAGGTTCTTCATGTACTAAAGGGATTTTTGAGTTAACCATATCTGCAGAAGGCGAAGAACACATGCTGGTACCTGCTATGTCTTCGGTCACGATTCTAGCATACAGAGACTGTGGGGAGGCCGCAAGCTTTCGCCTTTAGCAAGTACTCTGCGGGGCATTACAGACACGATGAGTTTTTTGTTATAGTAGAAGGATCAAAACGCTGCAAACGTACAGAAAAGCGCACTGAATAGCAAGTACTACTGTTAGTTAACTACGTAAACGAGAAAGAGATAATCTGGAGCGGAGTCACTACAAAGGTTTTTTACAAAATGCGACTATTTAGCCAGACTGTCGAACTAAACTGGGAAAAATCATACCCTGTAGTGAAAGGTGATTTTAAAAAAGATTCTTGTAAAAAACATGCGTTAATTGCTTAAGAATATCCAAGTAAATGCGAAGTTTCACTTATCTTTGGAATTGAGCTGCGCACCTTGACCTCATCATTTCGTTTTCGTTTAAATTTCTCAACGACTTCCGCCAGAGCAACTGGATCGGGTAGTTCGTTCCAATCATCAATCACCCTGTGGGAGAAAAAATTCGCCCGCACTTCGAGCTTAGCGTACTTCATCTTCAATTTATATCACTGACATCGAAGATTTGTCGTTTGTGCCAGTTCAAAAAAATCGGCCAATTTGAGTCCACAATCTACTACCCTGATAAGTTTGAAAATCATGATCATGTCCACCTTGTATTGTCTATAATAGAGAGGGAAGAGTTTGAGCCTTTCAAGCTGTTCCTCACAAGGTAGGCTCTCCAGCCCACCGACTACTTTAGTCGCTCTTCGTTGCATCTTCTCCAAGAGAGTGCAATCTTGCCTCATCCAGTGGTCTTGTGCCTGAATGTCATATTCAAAAATCGGCCGGATAAATGTTCCAAGAATTCGGCTGAAAAGCATGCGTGGATGTTAAGGCAGGATCTCCTGATCCCTCCCAGGATGCCCATTCTCTTATTTGCCATCTTGGCGCAGTGAGACGAGGGTTTGGGAGTGGACGTCATCCACACACCAAGATTCTTTACCTCATTTACAATCTCGAGTTCGTGCCTGCCGAGGAAATAGTGATATGCAGATCCCAAATCCCTTCTGTAACAAGGCCTTAGTCGGACGAATTGATATTTATTGAAATTAAGGTTGTGAAACCATTCATCACACCACTATTGCAGTCGACCTAAGTTTTTTTGTAAGTTTAGCGTGTCCTCTGGCTCTTCAGTCGAACTCCACATCTTCAAACTATAAGCGAGCATTACCTCCTCGTAGATTAGGCAGTCTAGGCACTCGTTCCCATATAGCAAGAACAGAATAGCATCCAGGACTGTCCCATGTGGAGCGTCGTTGCGAGTGGTTTCTCACTACGATTTTGGATCACCAATGCACACACGTTGACGTCGGCCTGTGATGAAGTCAGTCAACCACTCGAGAAGTTTGCCGGTCACACCCGTATGGCGCAGTTTATATATCAGTCGTCTGTGTGGTACCCGGTCGAAGGCTTTTCTGAAGTCAATGTAAATTGCATCTAACGACAAACCCATCCTAGGGATTTCCTCTAAATTTCCATGGATGTGAGCAGAATAGTGAGACAGGATCGACCACATCTAAATCCATGTTAATGCTCATTAAGCAAGTTGTTCTACTTAATATGTCTAAGCAGCTCACTTTCCACTATTTTATCAATTATTTTGCAACAAATACTTGTGAGACTCACTGGTTTGAAGCTATTTGACGAGGGTCTTTCTCCCCCTTTAAATATGGCACAGATGTTCGCCAGCTTCCTGGCCAAAGGCAGCGTCCCTGCGTCCATGGAACTATCGAAGATCTTCGGGAGTAGACGGGCTAGTTATTATGCGAGTTCATTGAGAACTTTTGCAGATAAACCACCCGGACCGGGCGATTTAGTGGACTGCAGCCGTCCTAGAGTTTTGCTAATTGTGCCTTTTGTGAAGATCACTGTACTAGTTTTATTTCCAGACGGGACAGTTTGCTAGTGCACTTTCTCATCAAAAGGCCGAGGACGTCAAGGGTAGCACACACTCAAGTAGCGAAACACTGGAAACAGATCCTGGCTAACGTTGGTCTGAATAAGGTTGTTAGTAAGTCACGGTACTCATCCGCACATAAGGAAAAAGGAACGTCAAGTAGGCGAGAAGGTATAATGGACAGAGATTGGAATTGGAAAGGCGTGTAAGGATAGCAAATAGTACAAGCAGAACGAGTTGCAACTGTGGCGTAATCCGTCTGGACTGGGAGGCGATACAGGCATGTCAGCTAATTAACCGGTGGGGAACGCAGTGCTGTGGACAACTGCAGGCAAGGACCGAAGGAGGTGCCGACGTAGAGAGAAGAAGAACGATACGAGCGTCACGGCACGTTGCGGGAAATGGGGTCGGCGGAAGTGAGAGGAAGGGACACCGGCCGTCTCCAACAGCATGCGGTTACGCCGTCTCCATTCGAGATCCGCGCGCCAAAAGATGTTTTTTCATTCGAACAACACTATCGAGGTCGTGGGGCGTTACATACGGACATGAAGAAATCGGATAAGAGCTTCGTCCAATCTGAGATATGAGCCAGGGAAAGGAGTCCCAAATATGTTTCAGTCTATTTACGTACGAAAAGAACTTCTTTGCATTTTTTGGTATTTCCTTGACTATTTTTTTATCTTAAATGCTGCTTTTTTGTTTTCAGGAGACTCCTTGATTCCTCCATCTGACTCGCATATCAACGCTGTTGACACACTACCTACGTCGTTACGTTTTATCCGTCTATTAGCTAGTTTGTCGTTCATGTCTGTATTTGCCTTGATATAGTACAACTTTTATTTTTTGTCTTTTACTCAGGAAGGCCATGCATATTTTGGGACCCTGGATTTTAGATAATTCAAGAGTTTTCTTCAGACGCATTGTCTTGAAGGCTGATAGCGGAACCCTGAAACCCCGGCGTTGGTTTGATAGCCCACAAGTTCATCTCGGGTAGACGCGAAATGGATACAGTTTTAGAACAACAGCGCTCCTATCACGAGGAACGTGAACGCCTCATCGATGCGATTTCGAAAGAAATGTGCTTTAAGGCCAATACGGTAACTTTTTTCTTATTTTTATCGTTTACTGGATATAGCACAAAGAAGCGTTAAATTCGGAATTTCGACTCAGGACAATGTACGACGTATGTTTGCATTTTTCATCCGACTTTCCTTCAGCGTTACATTGATATTACCAGAGAATTGAAAGAACTTTATGAGGACAAGGACGGGTACGCCAATTTCTGTTCATTACATTCTGCGTAACGCACACTATACGATCGTATATGGCGACCGCTGCGATTCGACTAATACAACCCGTATTATTTTCCCTTACCCTCTGTATTTCGGGCAGTTCTCCCTGGCTTTAACTCATATTTAGTTGTTTTACATTCCTTCTCTTCACTGGTCATACTGACTATGAATGTGCGTACTCCATATGGAGCATGTTTTTTTTATTCGTGTGCGATCATTACATCCAGTATAAAATCCCAGCTTTTGTTTTACAATTTAAGATTATGTTAAGCATACATGTATTCGCCTATTCCTTTGGTTCCTGGCCTCTCATATCTTTCCCTCTCTTACTAGATTGCGAAAACAAGATATCCAGGCACTCTCAGGCCCCAATGAATTTGCAGAATTTTACAGCCGTTTTAAGGCACTCAAAGAGTTTCACCGGGCTCACCCAGATGAAGTTAGTTCGCCAAAACTTCTTAATCCATTTCGACGTCCTTTCATTCGTTCTAATTACTTGATTCTACCTTTAACAGATCAGCGTCCCCATGTCAGTTGAGTTTGAAAAGTACGCCCAGATGCGAGAAAAACCAGAAGAAGCATCCCAAACCCTGATTGATTTCACAGATGAAGAGGGTTATGGACGCTTCTTAGATCTTCATGAGGTTTATGAAGAGTTCATCAACATCAAGGGCATTCCGGTTAGCCCCTTTTATTAGATCTTATTTGCCTTTTCAGAAAGTCGACTACCTCACTTATTTACAAACCTACGACAAGCTTTATGAGATTTCGAGAGAAAAGAAGACGGGACAATATAAGAAGTTTGTGTTACCCTTAACAAGTCCAGAATTTTAGGTACCTGGAAAAACTGATCGAATATCTTGAAGGTTACATTGCCAGAGCGAAACCTATGTGTGACATTACAGAGGCAAGTCGTGTTTGTTTGAGATCTAGTGCCCATCAGTCCTTTCTAATAAGCATCTTTCTCAATGCAGTTTCATTTTTCTGTTGTCAAAAAGCTCTAGTGCGTGGTCTTTGTTTATAGGAGACAAACAAGGCTATTGCGAGGCTTGAACAACAGTGGCCACAGGGTATCTTTCCTGGGTGGGGCAAAGAGGCAACACCAGTGCTAACCCATGCCGGCGCGCATCTCGACTTGACCGCCTTCACGAAATGGGAAGAACTCGCCTCGCTTGGCCTCGACCGTTTGAAGTCGGCCTTATTAGCCCTTGGCCTCAAATGCGGTGGCACACTGGAGGAACGGGCTCGTCGTCTATGGGATACCAAAGGAAAGTCTTTGGAGGATCTGCCGACGGATATGTTTGTTACTAAGTCTCGCTCCCGTCGAGGTCGGGCTGTCACGTCTAATCCATCTCAGAAAACAGAGTAAGTTTTCGTTGATGACTTGTAGATAACTTGTTCTTTCACGCACCCGTCTTATCATGTATGTCCGGCAGTTTCCACGACTACGCCTTGAGAGACTTCTTTATAATCCTTGGATTGGCTTTGACCGGGAACCTTATTTTTTCCTACGGTTTCGTTCGAAGGTGCTCTGCGGACACAATATGAGGAAGTTGGCGACAAGAGTTCCATTTTAACGTAAAAAGTGGTAACTTTCCATATTATCGAATGGCTAAATCAGTAAGTCGGGGGCCTGTTTTCTAAATAAAGACGAACTTTGGTGAGAGAAGTAGTTTGCGAATAATGCGAATAGAAATAGGAAAACAGCGTAATATCGTCGTTTGTACAAGTGACACGAGTACCTAGGACTTTTGAAGCCGATGAGTTGTGACAGTATTCCAAGCCAGACCTTCCAACTTCTATGAATTCCCCTGCCATAAAGTCGTTTTGGTCATTTTGGGAAGGTTTAACCTCTTGTCTGTCGAATTTGCATATTACCTTGCCATTTTTAACCGTAACCACTGTTTTGTATAGTTCCACATATTGATTTCTTGACTTCTACGGTTACTCTCTCACCTATTCTAATGACCTTGCTTTGAAACTGTCACTTTTTGCATAGGGACTGGGCGATTCACCCACAGACGGGTCTGAACTAACGAGACATGGCGTGCCGCTAAGAAAAAGTGCCACGTTAGATTTCACCTATTGTTGGTAATCTAGTCAAACTTCCACTATTCTGCATCAATTCCTTGTTCATCTCACTCTGTATGTTTAGCATTTCCCCATTCCTAATACAACATTTATCGCAAGTTATTAAGGATGCTTCTCCTTGAATCACAGTGTTTCCACTTCTGACTTATGGGTGTGAGTATACCACATTACAGGATATCTGGGAGGGCCCGATTCGGATTCGACTGCGTGCTATCAACCCTCTTGCTTACTCGAGCAGGTTTGAGTTAGATTAGAAAACATAGCCTGATGGTTGCATTGACTGGAGGATTGAAGGCTGTCATCCCAGTCGAGCAGAGGAGAGTAAGGCCGGTGAACTGGCATCACGTATATAATCGCTGTGTTAACCTCTATGTATCTTGAAAATCCTTTATTTCTTTGACCCACGCGGGTTTCAAACCGAACTCATATTCAATTGGTGATGACCCCGTCAGTCAGTTCGTGACTCGTCATAAACTTTGGCTCAGCTTTCGGTGTTTGTTTCGCATATCAGAATTTGTGAATTAGCGTATGCGCTAATTTAACTGAGGTCTGACTAGTGACTGGTAGAGTAGCCGTCAGAAAAGTAAACAAATTCCTGAGTCCGAAGATTAGGCTTTCGCAAAACACGCTGCACCAATACTCAAGTTTCCGATGAAACCGTCCTGAACCAAGTCGGCGGTATGAAATTGCGGTTGCTGTCCACTGTATCATGGAACATCATCCGCTTATTATTGCCCCACTTGTTATTGCGGAGCAGGATTTGCGATGCCTATCCCACCGACAAAGTCCAAGCATTCGGACAGAGGCCCTTACTGGGCCCACTGGTCAGGCGGCTAGGTTTAGACGTTGACCCGCGACATGACTGGCTGGCTGACTGAAAAAGGCATTGGACGAAACCCTCGAAAGTTGCTACTTGTCCGTCCCGTCTTTGTCGGTGTTTATTTGAAACAATCGTCTTCAAGTCCGTGAAATGGCACTTGACACAGAACGCTTTAGTGATCGGCATGCTGCACGGAGGCTTAACATTGTACAGATTGTCTCGTGTCCCGCGTCTCGAGGTTATTGAATGCTTGGTCTGCCTTGGTACATATACGTCCTCCCCCCCAGTAGAGGAAATAGGGTCATATAACTCACGCCTTATGTGTTCTGTTCCCGGTGTTGTTGCTGCGACGTCAGTTAAAAATATAAAGCTTGTGGTCCAATCCTGAAGCCTCGATGCTGTTCTCGAGGACCACAATGCCAGGAAGTTGTCAGCATATTCCGCCTCCCCACCCCTCTGATGCATTCGCCCCTGTGGAGCTGGGATTGTTGGGGTTTCTCTGATGCAGTTAGCTAGAATAGACGGTGTTTGACTCTTCATTTCATGCTGTGGTTCACAGGTCTCGTGACCTGACATCAGAAATTTAGCACCTCCTATGAAGAACGCCAGACAATAGAGATCAGTGGCCTGCCCTCCGCTACCGAACTTGAATCGTCCCTCCCTCCCATTTATCGCATTTTCGTCCCCTTTGTAGTAGCCTTGGCCTGACTGAGAAGCAGCGGGAGATCGGTCTTCTTGAGGCTTGCGTTTACCAGCTCGCAGAACTGTTGAGCGGACACCGTGACGCCACGGTTGAGAACGTTCAGCGACGACAGGCGCGCTCTGTGGCTGAGCGTGAGGAGGACGACAGCGATACAGAGCATGTTCCTGGCGCCACCGGCGAGGGTGGCGACGACAAGGCGGCGGAAGAGGATGAAGACGATATCCCCTACAATCCCAAGAACTTGCCGCTTGGCTGGGACGGAAAGGTAAGCCTGTTACTTTGTTACCGGGAAGGCGATTTATGTTTATTTCCAATTCTTTACGTCTTTTTCTTTCATTACGTCCGCTTTTTATCCACCACCACCACCACCACCACCACCATCAGCATCAGCATCAGCATCAGCATCAGCATCAGCATCAGCATCAGCATCATCATCATCATCATCATCATCATCATCATCATCATCATCATCATCATCATCCCAGACGGAAATGAAAAAAACAGGGTGTTTGAGATGGACAGGTTGTCAAAATTTTTCCGATCGATTCACATCTCATAGCGGTACCTGCAACAGTCAGGTCCCAGCCTAACCCCTAACCTTAAGCCCTATCCCCTAGCCCCAACCCCTAACAGGTACGGCTACGAAATGGGATCTTGCCATTTTCCCTCATAATCTTCTTTGATTGGTTGGTTGGTTGGTTTATTTTATTTCTTATCCCCTCCACCGGCTGGCAGTGACAGGCCTCCTTTATTTTTTCCGTCACGGTGCAAAATGTCTCTAAGATCGGTTTGGGTTAGTGTCGAGTTAAGCAGTAGGCGCTGTGGCACTTTGAGGGGTGTACAAAAGTTCATTTTTCAGTGACTTAAGTCTCAAAACGCGTTCATGTTGGTCTTTTTCGTCGGGTGGCACTCACGAGTTGTCTTTCAGGTAATGTGGCATGTTAAGGACGAATACGGGCGTGACTAGCTCCTGTTTGACAGGAGCTAGTGAAAACAAGCAATAACCACCATTAGCGCCCTATCCCACGTCCTAACCATTTAGCCATGGGCTCGTCCATTGTTGATATATCCGATCGCAACCGACAGGACAACGAGCTCGTGACTCAATGGTTAGGGCGTTGGACTTCTAACCGACAGGTTGCGGGATCGAGCTTTGGGAGGGGTTGCACAACTCGGGCTTGTATATGACTGGCTGATCACGACCGACAAGCCAGAAATGGCCGTTCTATTGCCGACAAAGACAAGGGAGACTAGAATGACCATTTCTGGGCGTCATCGGCCAGCCACACCTACACTACCAGCCGCTGTACGGCTGCTGACTGGCCCTGAAATTGAACCGAAGAAACAACGGGATGAGTCTGTTCCGCAACGCGATCGTTGAGTTCCCCTCTACCACTCTTAGCATGCATGTATTTCTATATACAATGGTAGATGGGCGCTCACCGATCAGTTTACGGAACGTGCTCGTCCCCTTGTGCCTTGGGGCGCAAACCAGGACCCTCTCAGGCATTGGCTTAGCAATTAGCAATCTAAGTACAGTGAGTGACCGATCTCATGAAATGTTGGCTGACATTCTGAAATGCGTTTTCGACGAGGAAGGATTGCTTAAGCGCGGCTGTAAAACTGATTTTCTTGCGGCATAATTCTATAATATTTCGGATGTGGCAAAACGTCAGCCTTTGAATGCTCTACATTTTAATCTTCTTTAGAAACCGTACTCTGTGAAAAAATGACTATTTTAGTAGCATGCATTTTTCAGATTGATTTTCGGTGGTCTTACAAATTCAAATATATTGTATGGAAACCACGAAAAAAATATGCTTTCTTTCAGTCGTTTGATAGAGAATCACGTCGCCTTTATATATTATGCCCGAGGAAGGGTTATAATTAGGTTTTGAAAAAGTTTCCCATTATGAGATTTTTTCAAGACCGTGTAATGTCCATTCACTCAGCATCGTACCTGTCTGTTTACTACTGCACCTCATGAAATGTACAACATGGTCCACATCCATTGTAAAATTTTATGGACTCTGTATGATATCTTTTTAATGGCATAGAAGAATATGTGATTTTCATTACGGGGAACACACGCACCTTGTATACTGAAATCACGAAGCGCTAATGCGAGGGCTGATCAGGCTCCAAATTATTCGGAAATTAGAAAAAAGTTTTAAAACCTGGTTATACTTCTTCTTTGAGTATAAAATATAAAGACGACGTGATTCTCTATCAGACAACTGAAAGAAGGATATCTTTGTTCGGGGTTCCTATAAAATACATTTGAATTTTCCAGACCATCGAAAATCATTGTAAAAATGCATACTTCATAAGTAGTCATTTTTTTACTGAACACGATTTCTAAAGAAGATTAAAATGTAAGTCATTTAAAAGCTGACATCCTGCCGGGCCCGAAGTATATTAGGACTATGTCCCATGATAATGAATGTTTCAACCCCACCGAGGTAAACCTTCCTAGTCGAAAACACACTTCAGAATTTCAGCCAGCATTTCATGAAATCGGTCACTCACTGTAGGTAAGGTGATACCGACAAAGACAGGAGAGACCAGAATGCTATTTCTGGTCTGTTGGCCGTCACCAGTCAGTCAAGCCCAGCCACAGGTGTGGAGTACCTGAGACTTGAACCCGTGACTGACAGCTGCTAGCTGGACTGATGCTTTTGTTATTTTTCAGGCTTAACTAAGCGTTGAGCATGAGAAGTGTTGTTTTGGGCAAGGCAGGGGATACTTCCGTACTATATACATATATATATATATACACATATATATATAGGCAGAATGGCATTACCGACAAAGACAAGGGAGACTGGAATGGCCATTTCTGGCTTATTAGCCGTCGTCAGCCAGCCATACCCAAGCCCGAAGTGTGGAACACCCGAGCCTCGAACTCGCGACCTGTTGGTTTAGAAGTCAACGCCTCTACTCACCGGGTCACGAGCCCGTTGCCCTGTCGGTTTTCGATCGGGAATATACAATGTTAGGGGACCCCCTAACATTGCATTTACAGTCAGTTTCTTTGGGCGTCCTTGCCCTCCCAACTGGACAGGCATTTTGGTCAGACTCACCTCACCCTGGATTTCGATATTTTGTAGCGCATTCTTCACGCCCCAAAATCCCAACCTAATTGTCTTTTTTCCTCTCGATCTTCGGTAGCCCATTCCTTACTGGCTGTACAAATTGCACGGCCTAAACATGTACTACGCCTGCGAAATCTGCGGCAACGCCACCTATCGTGGTCCCAAGGCCTTTCAGCGGCACTTCTCGGAGTGGCGCCACGCCCATGGCATGCGCTGCCTTGGTATTCCCAACACTGCCCACTTTGCCCACGTGACCAAGATTGAGGACGCCCTGGCTCTCTGGCAGAAGATTCGATCCACCAAGGAGGCTGAACGCTGGCGACCCGAGGTGGAGGAGGAGATGGAGGACTACGCAGGCAACGTGGTCACCAAGAAGACCTACGAGGACCTGAAGCGGCAGGGTCTTCTTTGAGGGCACGGCTTCCCCCCACCGAACTCCCCTGTACTCCACCCTGTTTTCTTCCTCCGCGCATTGTAATAAAGTACTTCTTAACGAAAGCTGCCTCTTCTAATGTATATCCTTATGTTTCACTGCATCATCTTCCAGCCGGGAGGAACAGTACAGGTCTTGTACGGCGAAGTCATATTGCCTCCACACCTTACACCGACTCACCTATAAGCTGAACAGGCAGTAAGGCCTGATAAGTAGTCTTCGGTCGAACAGTCTTCTTCGGTTAAAATCTCGAATTTGCCGTCTGTTAGCCGGCTAGTGAATTTTCATTCTGTCCAACGCCCACATTGGAGATGTTGAGCTATAGTGAATGAGAGCTTTCTAATGTTTACTCAGTGGGAATACTGAAAATGTTCTGTAATGCTCTGCGACTCATGTGCTAAGGTTCTCATTTCTCCCTATGGATAGCACCCAAACCAGTAAATATTCCGACTCCGGTATGCCATCATTTTCCGGACTTGAGTGTTTGGCCTGTTTTGACGTTCTCTTTCTTCCAAGAGAAGTTATTTTTTTTATGTTGAACGCATTCCCGGTTAGATATTTTTGTCCACATTTAAAAGCCTTTGTTTCTTAGTACGTATGTATTGGACAGTAGGTCACAAGTTCAACTGGATTTGGGTCTGATGGCAGGGTAAGGAGATTATCAGTCATCGGAAGATTGGCTGTTCTCTGAATGTAATGCCGACACTCAATTTGTTTGTTCAGGCAGTTCTCAGTTGTTCTTTGGACTTAGGTTGAAAAAGGATAGTTACACTAATGCGCTCTGGTGTAAGGTTTAGCAGCGGAATGCGTGGGCGAACTTGGTCACATAGCAGAACCACTTGGTTAATGCCTGCCGGGGTGGAATGAAGGGAAAAGGCAGACTACCATTGTGTGTTGAGGTGTAGTCCTACATAGTAGAAACCAAACCATATATATATATATATATATATATATATATATATACCTGCCGGCACCATACGAAGCCGCCAAACACCACCTACGCACCAGGGGAGCCCCAATGAGGATAGAAATTGATGGCTCTATCAGGCGCGAGCGAGAGGGAACCATTTAAACCGTGCAATTTTCTCCTATTTGCTATCTTTGATGATGCGCTCGAGTATGAGTGTTAAACGTCAGATGAATAAATCATCATCCCCAGAGCTCGCCTTACCGTCTTCTTTAATCTCAACGCATTTTCGTCTACATCCATGCATATATACAGTACGTGACCTAACTCATGAAATGCGTCGAAATCTACGAATGATTACCTATCACTCGCAAACTGACACCATTTCATGAGTCCGATTTCTATGTTAATTAAGTATAAGTTTAAGAGAATTTAAAACGTAAAAGAAATATTATAGGCAGTGTTGCGTTGTTTAGAAATGTCGATTTATTTCAAAAAGCGCAATATCCCAAAAATGTCAGAAATGACTAATTTAGTAAACTTCGTTTTCAAATGTGTAGAATGTATTCTCATACGTAGTAAATATGAAAGTAGACATAAAGTCACGTCTAATAACAGAATTTCAGTGAAGTTTACATCTAAATATCGTTTACTAAGTAGTGTGACTTCATATATGACGGTTTGCCAACTGCCTACATTCTGGGTGTAGATTCCAAAACAGTTCTCCAGTTTTTCATAATTTTACTAACGATTTAAAGTTAAATGAGCTGGGGTTCAACAAGAGAAGCTAGATTTTGCTTGATTTCGTCGATGGGGACGTCGTAGGATCATATGTTTTCATAAGGTGATTCGATTACCTCTCTATCTTCGTTTTTATCGGATCTTCGGGTTCAGAACTACTGCTCGACTGAAACATGCAGGGAGTGTATTCTTTTTGAGCCTTAAAGTCTATTCAAGTACGCTGAATTTGTCACCCCATCCTTGACTGTCACCTAGTGTCAGTGGCTCAGTTTTTCGTCAGGTTTTTAGGAACATTTTGTCCATATTTTTTATAACTGGTGATTTATGCATTCACCCCCTACCATTGGCCAGAGAACCCTTCGTTGACAGCTTCAGTCCCACCGCCAGTACAACGCCTCTCCTTCCCTTCAGGGGCACATTGTCCAACCCACTGCCATTTCATATTCCCGCGAATGGAGGAGCATCCGGGGTCGCCCACAACTCAACAATCGGACGAAAAGCAGCAGCGACAGCAAACCCACTCCCCACTTCCAGCCACTGTGGAGGATGGGGAGAGGCCAACAGCTCCGTCAGGTGAATTCCTCGCGCCAAAGCCCGTTGCTGCGCCGCCTCTAGAATCGGGCAGGACCTCAGAGAAGCCTTTGAAGTCAGAAACGGACGAAACAAAGGTGGTTAATGACTCCACCGAGACTGAAACATCTCCGCGGGGTCCACGAGTTCATCCTGCTGCTTCGGCCACCCCCAACCCTGCTGCCTACTACAAGCAACCTGACTGGGCCAGTACTTGTCCCACAGAGGCTGCCTACAATGTGGAAGTTATCAAGAACGGCGTACCTCTTGCTGAGGATAATGTGAATCTGTGTAGCCTCTCCGAGGAAGCCAAGGATGCCGAGGCGATTGGCGAGGGTGTTCGATTCTGCGTCTTTGGCAGACAGCCTCGTGGCGCCGTCTCGCCCACCGATGCGGCCTGTGCTAAGTGTGTGACCATGCTGCATCCCTCCATCAGTCGCGTGCATGCCATCCTTCAGTATGGTTCGGGTCCCCCAACACCCACGTCCCAGACCGCATCAGATCAGGATACGGAGCCCACCAAGGGCTGGCACATCATCGACATGAACAGTACTCATGGCACTTTTGTGAATAAGGTGAGTTGTTCATCTCTACTTTTCCCGTCTCCTCTCTCTCCAACCGTGTGCATTGAGGCCTGTATTAGGCTAAGACTCAATCGGATTACGCCTACGTATACTCTTGGGATTACTCTATATTCCTGATTAGTTACTAACCAAGAAATTGTGATTGTGCGACGTTGGCGTGCCTTCACACTCGAAGCAGACGGCTTTGTAAAAGGACAGCTTCGTGGCGGTCATCGATCACCAGTACGCGCTCTCTCCGGCCATGAGTTTCGTCCGTCCGTCTTCATGACCGTGGGAAAAAGTTCATAGCCGTTTACCAACTGGATTCTGGCCATGCATCATGTGTAGTGAGACGTACAGTAGATGGCCGAACTCATGAAATGTCAACCGAAATTCCGAAATACGTTTTCGTTCCAAAAAGATTAATTAAGTGCGGTTGTAAAACTAATCAGTATGCAGCATAATTCCATGATAATTCGGTTACCTCAGGATGCCGGCATCCGAACGAACTTCTTTCCGGCTGCACGTAAAAGTATACTTAGTAAAAACGACTACTTAAGTAGCATACATTTTTGGCATATATTTTTGATGTCCTTAAAAATTCATTAATATTTTATGGTAAACATGCACAAAAATATTCGTTCCTTTGCTCATTCGGTAGAAAATGATGTCTTCCAATTTTCTACTCGAAAGAAGGGTATAATTCGGTTTTCGAGAACTTTTCCAATTTCCGAATAATTTTGAACCCGACCTGCCGTTACGCTTGCATTCAGGATTTCCAAACTACAAGCCGTATATTTTCCGCGTATGGAAAACCGTACACTTCTCTACGTTATTAAGAGGAGACCATATGGGGTTCATAAAATTTAGCAGTAGATTTGGGCCATATTGTTAACTTTACAAGCCACATTGGTAAATACAAAGACGTGACGTTTTATGAACGGTCATTTCACGGTACTAAAAAAATCGCACAATTATAAACTTTCTTAAAACCAAGTTATACCCTTCATTTGAGTATAAAATTTGAAGAGGACGTCATTTGTTACCGAATGAGCAAAAGAATGCATATTTTAATGTATGTTTCCCATTAAATATAATTGGACTTTTAGGGGCATCGAAAATCAATAAGGAAAATGCATGTCATTTTTTACACAGTGTAGTTTTTGCATGCAGTCGGAAAAAAGTTCTTTCGAAAGCCGGCATCCTGATGTAACTGAATTATTATAGAATTATCCTACACAATGATTAGTTTTCAAACTCCACTTAATTAATCTTTTCGAAGCGAAAACGCATTTCGGAATTTCGGTTGGTATTTCATGAGTTAGTTCGCATCATACTCTCGCACATTAATATTCATATGTTGCCATTGTATTACACTTTATCCGCCAGTCAGTCACTTCTGATCTAGTGCGTGAACTGGGATTAGACGAGATCGCATTGTTGCAATCTTGTGCAGCACTGTCGTTAACAAAGTCGGTTACTGATTTAATGTTTGGGTACTGTTTTGTCTTGATCTAATTTCGTCTTCTCACTCGGCAATGTCGGCAAAAACTAGGAAATTCAGCGTGGTGCTCCACAGCGATAGCTACTGATGTCCGTTTGCAAAATCATGAAGGGCAAGCAACTCACAACCCACCTAAGGAGCTCAGTGTTACTGCCCTCGATCCGGTACCGTTACGCCATTAGAGGCGTCGAAGAGGGGGTCAACTCAAAACCTGGCTTGACACAGTCCGTCAAGACACGGAGGTGGCTCTTGGACCTTCAGTATTCGGCCTCCCTTCTTGGTGAAGAGAATGGGTTGAACTATCCAGATCTGTTGCCGTGGATGGCCACGCGTGGAGAGGTACAGTTCGGGACACCATCGAGGCCGGCTAGATCAGGCATGATCGGAGCCGTGCCAAGTAGATAGACAGCCCTGACCTCCCGTGCGCTTACTAGGAAGACTCCAATGGTCGACTTTGGTGAGAAAGTATGAGAGGCATAGCCGTACTGTTAGAGAGTTTAGCTGAGTCGACTTGTGGTCTGGGGAATTGGTTCCGTTTCCTTGACCTATTTTTAGACAAGACGCTGATCCATGGCCGCTGCCCTTCGTACGTTACTTATGTTATCGGTTGTCCTCGAAAACATGTTCCGGGGCTGAGGTCGAACTCAAATCGTTGGGCTTTGTGCCAGAGTTCTAGCTGGAGATAGTGATGCGT